GGGGTAGAGTCCCCCACAACAAACCTACACTCCCATCCCTCCAGTCTCTCCCATCCCTGGGACCTGCTTGCTCGGCTTTGATGGAGGCGAATGCTGATAAAAGCAGCTGCATCAAGACTGGCTTGCGGGATGGGGGTTGAGAGCATTGGTTGGGGGAAGCAAGGGGCCGGAGGGGCAAAAAATTGACAAGTGCAGGGAAGGAAAAGAGCAGCCCTGGGGCTGGGGCCAGTGGTGGGTTTCCCAGTCCTGGGGTTGCACAGGGAACATGGACAGAAGTCCCATACACTGGTTTGACCTAAATTGAATGAGTCCGATACTACATAGATCCAGATTTATCTTAAACTGGGTTCTGCAATTTTCAGACTGGTTTGTGTGCATGGTACTTCTGTTCAGTTACAGGTATAGACTGATTACCAGTCAGAGACTGGGACTTTAAATGTAAGGTCTGCACCAGAATGAGCTAAGTTTAAACTGGGCAGCCATTACTTAGCCTCTGAAAGCAGTTTATGTGCACTGAACTTCTGTTGTGTTATGGATTTGAACCGGTTTCTGGTCACTTATGTGTAATTTCTGTCCCAAGCCTATGTGGTGGAATCCTGTGCTCTTAGCTCTCAGGGCAGACATGCGGTGCTCTTGGTTAGTTAGCTCTGAGTGGTCTAATATCCAAAAAATCTCAAGTAACAGTACTGGGAGGGCAATAAGGAAGAAACCTTCTTCAGATTTGCTGCATCAGGGAAGAAACAGCCAGTTTACTGTCGAGTGCTAGTTAACTCCATTCCCATCATCCTCCATTTGCAAATAACATGCTTTTCCCTGTTTTCTCTGTAACATTTACATTAGAGGCCCAAAACCAAATCAGGGCCCACAAGTGCTTGGTGTTGCCCACGGGTGTAGTGAGAGATCATTCCTGTCCCAAAGACCTTGCAGTCTAACTAAACAAGACAGATGAAGGAGGGCAGAGAGGCAAAGTGATTTGCTCAAGGTTGCACAGGCAGTCAGGGGCAGAGACAGGAGAGGAACCCAGTCCTCGCACTCTCCTTTCTCCCCATATGCAGGCTTTCTGTTTGCACTACCCTGCTGATAGAAATGCCCCATCTAGAAGCTAAAGCATGCCCCTCCACCAGCAATTGGTCCTTGTCCTCTTGGGCAAGTCTGTCTTGTCGTGGAGCATAAAAGGCTGCAGCAGTTGTTTAACATCACACTGATGGCAACATTAATATTAATGAACTCCTAACAGCCAGCTCCAAATGGAGAGCCTATCCTACCAGAAACCTACCCTCTCCTTTTCCCAGGGCAGCCTGAAAGAGAGGGTGTCAGAACCACCAGGGTCTGGAAAAATAGCAGCTTGCCCCTGCTTCGGGGCTGGCAGAGACCTGGAGGGTCTTCTAGTCCAGCCGGTACCTGAATGCAGCAATATGCCCCCGGCAAACATATCCCTGGAGCATGGCAGATTTTAAAAAGAAAAGAAGTTGAAGTTGCTTAGAAGCCAGAGTGTGACCTTGCAAAGTGTCTGTAAATGGGGTCAGACTCCAGCCAGGCAACCTTGACCTGGGGCCAAGTGCCGTGGGGAAGATCTGAACAGCACATTTCTAGCTCAAGTTCTGTGCAGAGCTGAACTGCATAGGGCCTCCCTCCCACCTCCCTTATCTCAGGTTCCCCTGCTGCTCTGTGCCTCCTGGAAGCTCTCTCTAATGAGGCCTTAATTGGCTTACAGCTGTTTTGCCTGGAATATAAATTGATCTTCCTGAAGAAGCACGTATGCACCATGTAGCGAGACAGCATTTAAAGTGATTTTCATTTGGGCAAAATATGTTGGCAACACAAGACAATGTGATTTATTAATTACTGTAGGGGAAGAAGGGAGGGGGGCGTAAGGGGGGATTGTCCTAGGTTTAGGGGCAGATCCACTGAAAACCTGCATCCCTTGATGAGCTTTGGGGTGGTTACGTTGAGTACCAACTGCTGAGGCTCTCGCCCCGTTATAGAGCACATGTTTGTACTAAAGGGACGGTTGGCCTTCCTGACCGCGTCCCCACACTGTCGGCCCATGTTCATTTTGGCATCAATAATGACTCCAAGATCCTTTTCTGCCTCTGCACTGACGAGAAGGGAGTTCCCCAGCCTGTAGGTGTGCTGCTGGCTCTTCCCCCCAGGTGCAGCTCCTTCCACTTGTCAGTGTTGAAACCCATCCTTTTTCCCACCCCCCCACCTCTGTAACCTGTCTAGGTCTGATTGCAACCTATTCCTCCCTTCTAGCGTGCCCACATCCCCCCACATCTTAGTGTCGTCAGCAAATTTGAAGAGCGTGCTTTTCACCCCCTCGTCCAAATCACTGATGAAGATGTTGAACAGCGTAGGTCCGAGGACCGAGCCCTGGGGGACCCCACTGCTCACATCCCTCCACGGTCAAAAATGACCCATCCACCACCACTCTCTGGGTGCGGCCCTCCAGCCAGTTAGCGACCCATTTGACTGTTTAGGTGTCAATGCCACAGTCCCCTAGTTTTTTAATGAGAATGGGGTGAGAGACAGTGTCAAAGGCCTTCCTGAAGTCCAGAAAGACTACATCCATCACAACACCTGCGTTCAAGGATTTTGTGACCTGGTTGTAGAAGGCCACCAGGTTGGTCTGACAGGACCTGCCCCTAATGAACCCATGCTGGTTGCCCCTGAGCATCACCTCCCTGCTGGCCCCTCACGGACATGCGCCAGGGTAATTCTCTCAAAAAGCTTCCCCAGGATCGAGGTAAGACTAACTGGCCTATAGTTCCCTGGGTCCTCCTTCCTCCCTTTTTTGAAAATGGGAACCACATGGGCCCTTTTCCAGTCCTCTGGCACCACACCAGAGCACCATGAGCGCTCGTAAAGCCATGCCAGGACCTCTGCTAATTCCCTCAGCACTCTGGGGTGGAGATCGTCAGGACCTGCTGATTTAAATACGTCCACTTGCTGAGGTGAGTGCCTTGGGGGCAAGGTGAATTTGGCCTATGAACTCACAGCACCATGGGGCTGACGTCTGGCTGGGTTCATAACATTTTGCACATATTGGTGGTGAAAACCAGATTCTGCAAAGAGCTCAGCACCTGCCTCCTCTAGTAGCTTGGTCCCATGGCTCGATGCGGCCCAAGAGCAGCACAAGAGCATCTCCAGGCATGTTGTGTGCTGATGGGGTAAGACCCCTGGCTCCTGCGTGGAGGCAGGTGTGCAACGCTCAGACCATTCAACACGTGCTCCTAAGGTGCGAATGTCTGACCCTGGGCAGATGGCAGCAATGGGCCCGTATTGCTCGGCTTGGCCACTCTGACCCTGCTCCTCCCATCTCCAGGCCGCGTTCCCCAAGGGGAGCTGCTTAGTCCTCAGTTGGCCTTGGCACCTCTCAGTGCCTCTGTATCCACATCTGTTCTGGGACTGGGGCACCGGACACCCTGCCCTGCTGCCGGCTGAAAGCAGGGGGAACAAACAGTGTTTGCAAACATAGCAGGCAGAGCCATGATACTTTTGTCAGTCGGGCTCTGAGTGATTTCCCAGAGAGGGAAGGCAGCGCTTTGCAGCTGGGGAAGCTCAGGTAGAGAACAGGGAAATAAGTTGCACCAGGGTGCTCTATGAGTCAGGAATGGACTGAGGATCCTGCTTCCTAATCCTGCGCTCCATCTGCTGCCCTCCATTATGCAAGGGCAAAGGGGGCCTGTGCATGGCCCCCAGCATGAGGAAGCAGCAGACATCGGTATGTGAGCAGAAGGTGGAGTGCGGACCGTGCCTGCACCCCAGACTGGCTATCTTGATGGCATTCATGTGAATGACCACATCCCACTGACCTTGCGTGCTTTGAATTGCAGGGCTCAGGCCAGGCAGAAGATAAAGGGCCTCTGACTCTGACAGTCACGACGATCCTGGTAAGACTAAACCTTGTGTTAATGGCAATGGTGGGGGCTTCATACACGGCACACCTAGCACCACCCATGCACTTGCATGCACCCTTGCTCACCACAGCTGCTGCCCTGTGTGCCTATGGTATTTGCAGGTCACTCCCCAGACAGGCCAAGGTCCAAGCCTTTGGTATTTCTTTGGTAGGTGTGAGGGTTATGACAGCTGGTAGGATACATATAGGATAATTCAGAAAGGGGGGCAGAGTGGATGCTCCTTGAAAACCTGCTGCATGCTAAAAGCAGGCCTGTTTCCCCATCTGGATTGCTCAAGCTTCAGCTGTGTTTATCATGCCAGCTCATGTCCCACAGTGGGAGCCAGCAGTGACCATGCATGGGTAGCACATCAGTGGCAAAGGGTTAATAGGAAGGAACAGACTGTATGAAGAGCAGCTAAAAGACCATAGATCCAAACTGGGCAGCACTTGGGAAGGACAGGGGTCCCATACAGGGGCCAGTAAACGTTTCAAACTGCAGATAGGAGTGTCTGCCAGCATCTCTTGGCAGTGAGGAGAGGCCTCCACAATCTCCAAGAGGAGATCTCTTGGCCCTAGAAGCAACACTGCTAAACTCCCAGGCCTTGCACCTGCATGGGAGCATCTCTTGGGGCTCAGACAGGCCAAAACACCAGACAACATCCAGGGACATGCACTTTGCTAGGAGGCTGGGGAAACGGGGATGGACTTAATGGTGTGAGAGGCTGGGGATCGGCCTGGCTTCTAGCCTTTCCCCTTGCCTGCAGGAAGACCCCTATGCGATGGCGCGAGGCACAGAGCTGGAGGGATTCTGCATGGACCTGCTGGAGGCCATCTCCAAGATGTTGCATTTTAACTACACGGTGAAGATCGTGAAAGACCGGCGCTATGGGGCTGTATCACCAGGTGGGAACTGGACAGGGATGATCGGCGAGGTTGTGAGACAGGTGAGAGACGCCAACTCTGGTGAGCAAACCTCTCTGTTAGCAGATTAGTCATTTAAAACTCTGCCGAGTGTGACAGCATCCTATGGCGCTGTCCTCATCCTCCTGAGGGTCCCAGGGAGCCACGGCCCAGCCCGCTTAGCACAGCCCCAATAGTCAGGTGCCTCACACTTCTCCTTACCTCGCAGCACTGGGGAAAGGATCCATGGTCTCAAGCCCCATTTCACAGTTGGAGGGCCCAAGGCCCAAGGGAGGGGAATTACTTTAAAAAATGTCAGCCTACCAGTTGCATCTGCCACATTAGTGCTGTTCCTGTTTCTGTGAGTTTTAGTATTTGGTGCGTTTCTTCGAAAGGGGATGAAGAGCAGGGGAAAGGCAGGAAGGAGACAGCCCGGGAAGGGGCAGCATCCTCGGGGTAATGTCTGGGGGGCAAGTGAGAGCCAGCCTCCCTGGGTCAGCCTAACTAGTTTATTGCACTAACAGGTTAAGAAGTTGGAGCGGGCGGTTTGTGCTGGCCTGTGCTGCCACCTGGTGACCAGGTGTGAGTACCTCTGCTGCCCTCAACGTGACGGCAGACGGCTTTTCGAATCCCAGCTCTCGCTCTGGGGTGGGGGGCGGTGTTAAATGGGGGATGGCATTCACTGTCTCAATTACTGTAGTATCTGCACATTGGGACTTCGGTGTGATGGGCAGATGCAGGGATGCCCTGCCCCTCTGGGCACTGAGCAGCCTTCTGCTTCGGCCCTGAGGGACAGAGATGGGGTTTGTCTCTGGGCACATGTCTCTGGGGAAGTGAGAAGTGTACAGCTCATGTCCTGAGCTGCTTGGTATGCCAGGTAGTGGATATGTGCCCCCTTGTCATGTCCTGTAGGAAGCCGACCTTGCGGTGGCCCCCTTAACCATCACAGCAGCGAGGGAGGAGGTGGTATCCTTCACCACACCGTTCCTGCAGACTGGCATTGGGATCATGCTCCAGAGGGACTCGACCTCCCGGGGCACCTCGCTCTTCCAGTTCCTGGCTCCCTTCAGCAAGGAGGCGTGGACTGGCCTGCTTATCGCTTACCTGCTGACCTGCCTCTGCCTGTTCCTCGCGGCCAGGTACAAATGCTCCTCTTTGGCACTTTCTCCCACCAGCTGCTCTCCCCACCTATGAGAGGGGACAGGCTCTATCCAAATGGGCTTTCCTGCCCACTGGTCCTGGGACGAGACATGCACAGCTGATATGTTGGGTTTCTTCTTGCAGACTGAGCCCCTGCGAGTGGAATGAGCCTGGGAATGAGGAGAATCGCTTCACCTGCCTGAACAGCCTCTGGTTTGGAGCAGGGGCTCTTACTCTGCAAGGTAGGATGTAGCTAACAGCAGCAAGAGGAACTATTGGCATGACCTGTGTCTGCCAGGGACTTGGCTGTTTATTGCCCAGCCTGTTGTATTTTATGGACCATCTTGTGCAGTCAGATATGTATTGAAGCCAGGGAGCCTAGCCATGTGCAGAGCTCCCCCCTCCCCAAAGATCTTCCCATTACAAGGGCATTCATTGGTTGCACATCTCTGGGCTGGAGCATGCGGGAAGCTTGCTTTAATGTGGGGTGGCTTTAAGAGACCTTGAGGTAGAAACAACCCATGGGATGATGATGATAATATCATGGCAGCTGACACTCACCTTGGCTGCCTTTTCTGCTATGCTCACAGCTCGGCGCGGCTCTGCCACTGTGCAGTGCTCATGTGCTAGCTGAGGTTGCTGTGCTGGGATGTGCAGGGGCCATTTGTCAGGCAAATTGTGTGTGTTTTAAAATTGGGCCCGGGATCTGAATAGCTTATGGCCCTCAGCCCCCTTTGCGCAAATCAAACGCTTGCATTGTCCTTCCGCTGAGGGTCTCTGATCCCCGCAGGCACAGCCCACCAGCCCAAGGCGCTCTCTGTGCGCATCATTACTGCTGTCTGGTGGGCGTTCACGATCGCTTTGCTGGCTGCCTACGTGGCCAGTTTCACCGCTCTGCTCACCTCTGGGAATGATCAGCTCCCGATCCAGACGTTTGAAGACCTCGTGAAACAGAGAGAGATCCAGTATGGGATGCTAGATGGTTTCTCCACATTTCATTTCTTCAAGGTGCGGGTCATCTAGGTGATGCCCCAAGAACATGGGGTTGAGCTGATGTGCAGAGTCTAACGCTACGACTAACTCCTTCAGCTTCTCTGTCCTATATAGGTCCTTATACCACTCTGATCATGTGGTTTCTGAGCATCTCCTAGTAGTGCGTTATACAATATTGCTAGCATTTCTTGTGGCATTTGTTCTTTCCCATCTTCCCTGTGGACGACATATGTGTAGTGGGGGATGCTTGTTCTGGTGGGGTTTTTTTCCCCTTTAGAATAGCCATGTTACTGCCTGTTTGACTCAGAATAGTGCGGCTAACTACCGCTTCCGCTATACGCTTGTTAGAGGAGGCTGGAGTGGAAGATGGGGAGGGTTTTAATGCTCCATTTTCTGTTGGTTGCAGGCCAGCCCCCAAGGAAGTCCCATCTCCCACACACAAGTTTTTACCCTTATTGCAGGGTAACACTACACCCCAGGGCCCAGTCTTTGTCTTAGAGCTGTAGGCGATTTCTTAGAAACCCAGGGCTCAGGTCATGGAGCACCTTGAAGATAAGGACTGAGCTAGGAAACTTCATTCCTTCTCAGATGTTGGCTGGTGTTTAATTGTCACAAGTTACAAATCCCTGATCTGCCCAGACACTTTGTTTTACATGAAACCTTTGCCACCGCTGAGAGCCAGGATGACTTGCTAAGCAAGCATGCCCTTCTCACTTTCAGGACAGGAGCTCACAGGGAGAAGGTTTAAACAGTCTTCTCCACACGGTCCTTCTGCACTTGCTGCACATTATTACTCTAAAGCACTGCAGCTTTTCGGGTCTGAGTTTTATGCCTGATATTTCTCCTGTCGTGTTGCAGAACTCCAAGAACCCCATCCACCAGATGGTCTATGAATACGTAGACAAGAGAAGAGATTACGTTTTAGTCAAAAACTCCCAGGAAGCTATTCGACGTGCAGTGGAATCCAATTATGCCTTCATAGGGGAATCAGTCTCTCAAGACCTCATGGTAGCCAGGCACTGCAATTTGGTCAAGGCCCCTGAAGTCATTGGAGCACGAGGCTACGGCATTGCCACTGCAAAGGGTGAGGCTGAGCTGCAATGGAGTTTCCACCTCTGCTTTTGTTCAGCTTGTCGCAGCAAGAGTTAGAGGTGCTCATTTCTGCCAGGGCTCTTCCACAGCACAGAGGAAATGGGACAGTGACCTCAATAGTTCAGGTCCTCTCAGAGTAACACGTCTCTGCTGTTTTAAGATCAACAAGAGGGCACTGCAGTGACTTGCTGCAGCATCGGCAGTCCTTCTGCTGACAGCTGCAGCTTCAGAAGAGCATTTTTTTCTGATCCGTGCTCTTCATGCCAGTCAAGGTAAAGAGCCCCCTGCCAGTAATGGGCCATTGGTTAAATCCTTCCATGATCACAGCACAGCTCATTGCTGGGGCATTGAGAGGATTAAAGATCAATGGTGCGAGGATTGCCGCCATCTCCTGGAAATGCTTTGTGGCACTCTCTTGCTGGCAGGTGCTGAGGTGCTCTGACTATTTCTGGTACTGCCTTTCTCTGTCTCATTCTAGTTATTACATTAGGGCCACTGGCAGCAGGATGGGGTGGCTGTATAAGTCAACAGGTAGCTTATTCCTCAGTTTGAAGTCATGCCCTGTTTGCAGTGGGGCCATTTTAAAATGACAAGGTTTAACATTATTTTAGCTTGCTGCAGCCTCTTTCAGTGCTTTGAAAGTTGCTGAGCTGGACAGCAGTCGTATGATCATCCTGCTTGTTAGTGGGTTCTTTGCAAACTGCTCTAGTTAATCTATGCTTGAGTCCTATGATTATTCACTTTGTTTCTCCCTGCCACCCCTAGGATCTCCCCTGGCCAGGAAGCTCTCCATTGCTATCCTGAAGCTGAGTGAATCGGGTGATCTTGACTACCTACGTAATAAGTGGTGGGAAACCAGCTGCTTCCACACGGGACAAGACAGATGGAGCCCCCTGGGCCCCCAAGCCTTGGGCGGGCTGTTCCTGGTTCTTGCTGCTGGCCTCATGTTAGGAGTGATTGTGGCAGTGGTAGAGCTGTCAAACAAGAGCAGAAGCACAGCTGAGCAGAAGAAGGTAGGTAACACGGTGAAACCTCACTGTCTCATTCTCATGCAGTGGGCTTAGATCACCCTCATACAGGTTGCTCATTGTTACAGCCAAAAGAAATGCCAGACAGACAGGAATCAGTGGCTTCTCCTGGTCAAAAATATTTGATTTGGCAATACATTGCTTCCTGTCTTTCCTTTTTTACTAAAGATCTTAGCACAAAAGTGGGGTTTTTATTCCAGGACTTAGTCTTCTGCTGTTTATTTCCCAATGAAAGTGATACGCTGTGAATTTCTACTGTCTGTTTTGTGTGGCAATGGAAGAGGGTTATGAATTCAGATAGGGGATCAACTGGAGGAAGTGAAAAATGAGTTCTTCTTGTAGCTAGCAGGCAGTATCAATGTGCCTTCCAGTAGGCTGCGTGTGCAGGGGGGATGAACTCAGGTCAGCGCTAATTTTAGTGGGATCACTCTGCTTATGCTGGCATAAAGGGACAGTCTTCTCAGCGCTCCCAGTTTTTTTCCTACTCCTGGTGATCAGCTTGTGCTAAAATACTGGCAGCTTCTAAAAAAAAATATGGTGATAAGTCAAGGAACGTGTACATAAAATGCAGAACAGCTCCTGCAGTTTGGGCTTGGAACCGAGCCTGCTGCTCCCCAGCCCACCTTGTATCTAAAACAGACTTGTTCAGTGCCATGTGGAACAACTACCCCTTCTCTTGCTTTCATATCTTTCAGAGATCATGCTGCTCCATTTTCACAGAGGAAATAAGTCAACGGTTCAGAATAAGAGACGATGCAAGGCAGAACCGGGAGAACCCAGAGAAGATTAAACCCTAAGAACCACTAGGGAGCGGGGTCGGTTTCTTTCTTTCCTGCTCTATATATTCAATACTAGCCAGTTCTCTGAATGAGCTTTCTGTAATGGCCTTACATCTATAAGCCTAGAGCATAATTTTCCTATAATAAATAGCAATGGTCAGTGTCTACAATGATAGAAGAACTGGCTACAGAGAATTAAATGGCTAAGTGGACTGCAAATAGGCTCCAGATGCTAGAGTATGAAATCCAGCCTAAGTAATGCTGTTTGAAAGACTTTAAGATCTCATGGCTATCCGGTAACCTCTGTAAAATAGTGGGTTCAGGATCACAAACAATGCACATGGTTTACATGCTGGCATGGTCCTTTCAGACTGGGAGTGCCGGATGTGGCGTGGGAGACAGCAGCACAGAGAAACCTCAACACCAGCTTGTACGCTGTAGACTTGTGATTGAGCTGTCCAAGCCTACTGGCGATTGTGGGTATATACACAGAAAGCTGAAGCCTGTAGCACTGAGTTTTCATTGTTGTGACCTGACTGCAGTGTGGGCATATTCAGATAATCTAGTTCTGAAATCACTAATCTCATAAACTGGAAGGTTAATAGATTTCCCTACCTACCCATACTTGGATTCTCAGTGTTTTGGCTGCCTTTTAGCAGACCAGAAGAGCTGAAAATGAGGATTTGGCCAATTTTCTTGGTTCTCAGCCTCATGTGCATCGCAATATTGAGTATGAAGCTTTATAATTTACTAGCTGTGCTTGGATTTAGTCTGGGAAGGGTTAGAGCAGCACAGTCACTTTCATTAACATTTTAAAACACTCATCTCTGTAGCTTGAGGGCCTTTTCTTGTACACAGATGTCTTTAGCACCAAGACAGTATTTTTGCACCAGGTAACTAACACTTATTTCAGACAACAGGGGATATTCTAAGGTCCTGGGATCTCATTTAAGTAAGTGCATAATGCCAATTATTAGCCTAGATATCTTGAGCTAAATATGTACGCTGCTTTGCATGTATTCTCTATTTCACCCTTGAACTAATGAAACTAAAGTGAGGGGCGATCTCCATCTTTCTACTGACAAAAGTGAGGAGGAGGGTTAATGATTCATATTCCCCTTTTGGTTTATTGGCATTTCTTGTGCAATTATGGGCCCTGTCCATGGGAAGGAGCAACTTGTTAAGACTTCCTGTTTCCCCCCCGCCCAAAGCCGGAAGCAATGTGCTAAGGCCGAAATGAAAATCAGAGAACTCACACCTGGGCAATTTGTAGTAGAGCTAAAAGCAGAATAGCACCTGCCTTTAAAACCAAACTATGCAAGTCTGCCACCAGTGTAATGGTAGCTATTCTGCTTCAGGCATTTTTGTTAGTGACAGAGGATGTGAATCAGTTGAAACTAAATAAAAGTTAATTACTTACAAACTGACCGACTGTGCTTTCATTCACCCCCGCTCCCGCTCCCCCTCCCCCAGGCAGCACAAGCTGGTGCTTGCTGTGACAAGGGATCAGGGTTGTGTGTAGCCTTTGATTGCCACACCCTCCCCCCCATGAATACTACATTTCACAACCAGCATCACCAACTTGCTTGCCTGCAGAGGGTGGTAACCTTGTGGGTAAGTGTTGGACCAGGACTTGGAAGCGGTGGCTTCTATTCCTGGTTCTACCAGGCTGCCCAATCGGCAGCCCCGAGTGAAGAGTTGTGCAGGATGGAAAGGTACAGAGTAGTACTGGGAGAAGTTTATAGAGTGGGAGTCTAGGTGCCATACAGTACTGTAGCAGGAAGTTTTAGTTACTGTGAAGAGCAGTTATCCCCAGGTACTGAAGGTACGGCCAGCCCTTCAATTACTTTGGACTGTTATTTAAGGGAAACTAGAGCAGAGCTCGACTGAATGAAGCCTGAACAGGACTTGCAGTCCAGCTGCTATCATGCGGCTGTCTAAGCACTGTGCTTTTCATAGGACTAACAAAAAGCAAGTTAGCTTTAAGTGGGAGAGCTCTGTTCCCTGCATATAGTAGTGCTAACCAGGTGCTCATGCAACACATTTTTTCCCCCATTTACTCCTAGCACTAACAGTTGAAAGCAACTGCAAGTAATAGCTAATTCTGTCCTCAGGCTACAGGAACTTCAGGTGGAAAAGAACACCTGGGTGTCCCTGGTCCACATTAATACCTGGCATGACTTAAAGCCAACTAAATTCCTCAGGAGCAAGCAGCGATGGCCAAAGAGCCTGGTTTCCTGATCACTGTGGGAAGAGGAGAAAATCCAGCTGTAAGAGTGGGAAAAGTAGGAATTGCCCAACTGCTACAGCAAGTTAGCGATGCTGACATTTACCCATCTGCCACCCTCACTGGATATTGGATCAGTTATTTTTTGTCCCTATATTCATTCAGCAGCATTCACCGGGTTAGAAGGCGACTCGCTCCACCTGACCAGACTGGGGAGAGCTCAAAAAGTGGGCAAAGAAACATTTCAGGAATTCAAATATTCAAATGCAAAGTCAAACGCTTTCAGCACTTTAAAAACTCTATTTGGTATGTGCCAAGTCACTGCTGGCATGGCAGGCAGAGATGTATAAAAAAGATTTCATTGACATTTAAATATATTTCTATATGAATGTCTCACAGAACAAAAAATAAAGTCTTTTCATCACAAATACTGCAGCATTAAAATAAACACTTACCAAAATAAACAATGAGTGATATACATATATATTTGGGGTGTATATTTTATATAATGAATCATATTGTTGCTTTAAGTCACAAAAGCACAATATAAATATGGAATTTCATGTGAACTCATTTTCCCTGTTGTAATAAAAATACATTCTTTACAATTAAAGTAAAACTAGTGCAAGTCCGTTCCTGCTGCTGCTGCTGTGGATTCAGTCCGCTGGAGCCCATCACTCACGTGGCACTTCATACTTAAAAATGACACTGAAGATCTTCCCACCCAGCCGCTCAGCCAGCCAGGAGTTTTTGATGACAGCAAGTTTGAGGCTTTCGCACTTCAGAGCCGCGTAATAATTCGTGTGGATAGCACGGCCCATCCCTTCAATTATAACCAAGTCCGTCTTCCGCTCCCGGACCAGCACGGCCAAACCTTTGTCTAGGCGGCTGCAATGAGATGTAAATGCATTGCTTAGAAATGCTAATGAATTGCTACTCTTTAGGAAGTTATGTACCGAGACCCACCTCATGCCAGAAGCCTGTGTGGCCTGCAAGATAGGACAGCCATGTGCACAGTAGTGCCAGACCTAGTGCTAGTCTTCCTATCAAGGGTGGTTGTGAATGCCTACCCATCTGGTTACTCTTTTTGGAAGGCCATCCTGCTTCCCCAATTGTATACTGTTCCTTTTAAACAACGGATTCTAACAATATAGGAAAGTGAAGGAAGCTAAAAATTCTTTCTAGCCCAGTCTGGGAAACAATAATGAAGAACTACGAAAGGACAAAGTAGCCTCTCTCGCAGGCCTCATTTAGCTGACCTCCTGTTTTCTCAAGTCAGGCTCAGAACTCCAGCTATCACCTAAACACATGGCAGAGGACTGAGTGAGTACAGAGTTTCCAGTAACCGCTTCACAGAGACCGAGGTGTGCCAAGACCACAACAGGAGGGAACGAAAAGCAAACGCTGCATTGGCTCTGCAAACAGCAGGACGTTTGATCGTGTGGAGGGGTCTGGATGTTGCCCAGGAAGAAGTCAAGCACTGGAGGTACTCAGATTCCTCCTCAGCTTAGTAGAAAAAACCCTGCCTCTCTGCACCGAGTTCAGAGCTATGCTTTAAGACATGTATAGTACTAAGCAATGAGCACCTGCAATAAGCAACAAGTCTGACTCTTGGGAGTTCATTTCCCTTCTCTCTGGGTATTCAGTGGTGAGGAAGGAGGCTCAAGCGAACCTTACAGCAGACAGGAGGCTACCATTGTTGTGAAATGCAGAGCATGGGCCACGGCAGCTCCAGCTGTCATTAAACAGCACAGTTGCACAAAGGAGGTTCAGGAGAATGTCATTAGCTGGGTCACTACTAGCACTTCCCCCCAAAAGTCAAGCTGGCATTTACAAAACAGGTTGTTTGGGGAAAAGTTCTGTCTTAAAGGCTTTCACTTCTGCTATTTCAGGACATGGCAGTAGTTGTGCAGTAGGACCTGCCCAGTCCCACTGCTACTGGTCTGAAAAGCAGAAGAAACTAGTCTGAAAAGCAGTTTTGAAACTTTTTGATAAAACGAATTGAGAGTTTTGATCTGCTCTACTAGCTTCTGAGAAAGCTGCTAATTTACAAACAAAGGGCTGATCCACACAGAGCTTCCTTTAAAGTCAAGAAACTTTTGGCCTACTAGGGGTGCACCAATAAAGATTTTTTGGGCTGATGCCAATTATTAACAAACCATATCTGCTGATACTGATCTGACTGCCAATATGCAGCTGGGCAGCTTGGAGAGCTGTGTCCGGCTGGTAAGTCTGTTTTTTGGGGGGGCAGACTGAGGCTCCCGTGGTGAGAGGGAGTGGGGCTGGGGCTGCCCAGCCGAAGCTGCCCTTGCCCTGCGCACAGATCTGGGGGGCACATGCCTACCATGCCTCCCCCTGGGGCTGTGCGCAGCAATGGGACACCCCTTCCCAGACAAGCCCCTGGCTCTGTCCCATGCCCAGCTCTACCTGGGCAGCGCCTGCCCCTGCCCCACTCCCTCCCTCACCATGGGGGGGGTCAATCAGACACTCCCCACCCCATGCCCCTGTCCCCACAGCAGACTTATCAGCCAGATGCTGCTCTCAAAGCTGCCAGGCTGGCCACGTGCATGTGCACAACATTTATCAGTGACATTATTGGCCACATCAGCCAAAAAAAAGCCAATTGCTGATAATGTTGCTTTTCCTTTTATTGGTGCTGATATCATACGGACTGGCATATCAGTGCACCGCTACCTGCTACAGCTGCACTGCAGTTAATTCCATGCTAAATATTTAATTCCTGTAATAGCTGTATTTTTAAATGGACATTTCAGAGCAGTTTAGGATTCTAAGCCAAAGCTTTCAGTAATTTAATCCACCTGCAAGACTGATATTACACTTCTATT